CCTCTGTCCCGGCTGCATCCCGGGCTCGCTCGGACACCTCGCGATCCCGCGGGAGCGAAGGTCGGCTCTCCCGGTGGCCTTCCTGGCACCAGCAGAAATCCTCCACCAGCGCCCCAAGAGGCCCAGCAGCAGTTTGGGACACATGGGGATGGGCTGGATCCATGGAGCTGCCCACGATGGAGCCGTTCCACCGCAAGGAGCTGCGCAGCACGCGTGGCAATGGGGACGGTGACACAGCGACAGCAGAGACCCTCCTCCTACGTGGAGGGCAATGGAGGGGCTGCAGGCAGCGTCTCCAAACCCCCCATCCCAGAGCAGGATGGGGAGAAACCCTCCCCGCTGCCTCCGCAGCCCATCACCGCAGCCCCGGGGCTTCACCCCCTGGGCCTCCTTCTTCTAAACAAGGTGTTTAATGACCTGGGAGGCCGGGGGCCCCTCTGCGTTCGGATGCATCTCCCTGGGCTCTGGTTTGCACCGCGGTGCATTCGGGTGCGGGGACAACGCGGGGCTGGGCAAACGCGGCTCCGAGGACACATTGGGGCAGCTCCGGCAGCGGCTCTTGGTGCGATTTTTACGGCAGGGAAATGACTCGTTGCAAAAAGGGAAGCAGATCCCGGCCCTTCTCTTCCCCGGGGTTTTCACAGGGTTTTTCGGGTGGGATCCCCTGGCTCAACACGAGTCCGACTCAGAGCCCCCGCGTGCAGAGCCCCACCAGGCACTGCAGCTTGCGGGTCATTGTCAGCGTTGGGTGAGATTATATGAAAATAAATCTTCAGGTGCCGTTTTCCATTCTCAGGAGCCTCCTGATAGGATTATAGCGCACGGACATATCCCAGAAACCCCAGCCAAGGGCATCATGAGAGCCTAAAGAGCTTCCCCTCTTCTCCTCCACCAACGCTGCCCACAGCAAAGCCTTCAAACACAAGCTGGGGAGCCAGGACACATGGATGGAGCCAGATTCCAGCTCCAGGATGTTCCCTTTCCCACTTGGAACAACCCTCCAGGCCCAGAGGGGCAGCCCTGGGACTATTTCATTTCATTTCAAACCTTTCACATGTTGCACATCGCAAAACCGAGGGGAAAACGTCCCTTGGCTGGGACATCCATCCAGTGTCGCCTCCTCTCCTTTTGACAGCTGGAATGGTGAATTTTTAAGCCCCATCTTTTTGAGGGTTGGTGAGCACACGAGGCCAGGTACCCACTGCCCCAGAGCGCCCTCGGATGCTCCAAAATGCAGCCCAACTGCTGGGGCCAGGCAAAATGCAGCCAGATCCCAGATGGAAATGCACTGACCCCCTTGGAAAAGGGGAAAGGAAGGAAAAGGGGACTGGAGTCTGAATTCCTGGTGCCTGGAAAGCAGCTCGCTCCGGAGCAGGGTGCGGGATGGAGCGGGAGGACGGGCTGAGCGATGGCTCCGGGAGAGGAGCCGGGGCCCGCGTGTGCGCGCGGGAGCCTCGACGTTAATTGCAGCCGGGCTGCCAAGTACAACAAAACGCGCACAAAGGACAGGAGCCGTTTTGTTTGAAGGTCGGAATTGTTCCCTTCCCCAGGGGAGCGCGGGCGGCGAAACCCGCTCCTTTACAAGCAATGACTCAGGTGCCGCGCTCTGCCCTGGGCACGCAGCTTGCAAGCCCGAGTAATTTCTGCGCCGTGTTTGGTTTCACGGCCCGGGCCCTAATAATGGGATTATTGTTCGCTTGCGTGCAAAGAGCTCGCC